ATCTTTAAAAAAAAAAAAGAACAAAAATAAAAGAAAAAAATAACTCTTCTTCTCCAACATCATTCCTTTCTTCATTAATTTCACTATTCATTCAGCACTTTCTATACATCTGCCACTTTGCACTAGGAAGACACGCACTCAAAAGACATGGCATCAAAAAATTGAGGAGAAAGGGATACATTAAAATAGTGTTCCTGGTGTGTTTGGTGGTAAAGGTTTCAGATGCCATGCTGGCTGATGGGGAGGGCGGAGGTGTTATCAGCTACATCTAGGGGAAAGAAGGCTTCATGAAGAATGCGACACATAAGGTGGTCCAGAAAATGGAGGGGTAGGTGTTCACTAGCGTTAGAGGGTGTGCAAAGAAGGCATCCTAGACAGGAAGAAATGTTGAGCAAAGGCTGTGAACAAGTCAGTGTATATAAGGAGCTGGAAGGAATCTGGGATGGAACCCAAAAAGTGCACCCATTTCTCCCTTTAAAGAGCCAGAGCCATTAAATGCGACCTGCCACTTTGCATGTTGACCTCGGGTAGCTTTTCTATACCTGAAGACATAATTCCAATTGCAGGTAACAGAACTCTCAAGCAAAGAGATTACAGCAGAGCTCATCTCTGTACCTCTGTGATAGGAAGACAGTGGTTCAAGCCTTACCCTAGGCAAACACCTTGCACGTACAACCTGGGTAAACAGAGGGCTCTTGCTCCCACCTAAAGCCCAGCTCAGTGTGGTGACACATTCAAATGAAAGACAACTACCATAACAGTATCAAAGAGCAATGAATTCTTTACTGATTGCATGGAAAGATGGTCAAGGGGGCATTATGCCATAGCACGCTCTTCTTGTTGGCCAGCCCTTTTCCGAAGGCCAGACTCATGCTGCACTCGTCACTCTGAGTCCCCTGTGTCACTCCTGAAACCCCCACTTTTTCTCTCTGTGGCCTCTACTACTGTGTGTATTGCTGTAGGAGTAGCCCTCTATCATCTCTGTCTTTGTCATATAAATTAATTCATATCAATTATAATTTATATGTCATATAAACTATTAATCATATAAATTAATTAAGTCTTCAATTTTCTTCCATGCCCAGCAGGGCCCTTTATTGTGCTGTATGGGCTTATGGATAACACAGAATCCTACTTAGGAGAGAGGAGAATGGGAAAGGCTCTGAATATTTCTACCTTACATATGTGTCCCTCTCACCCCTGCATGTCACTAGAATGGGAAATACCTAAGTCTGAGTACAGATTTGATCCTTACAAGCTGTGTGACCTTGGGTGAGTAATACCTCTGGGCCTCAATTTCCTATTCCATAAAATGGGACTATTCCTACCTATCCTAAGAAGTGTACAGGGGAACCACAGGTGAAAGAGCTCTGAAATACAATGGGCTCATCTTATGTTCATGTAAGGTTATTATAGCCTGAACCTAGACACGTCTGCTTTCTGTCAACTATTAGAGGTCCATGTGGAAACATGGTTATTTGGAAAAGCAACAATTATGATAAGCCTAGTTATCAACTCCTGATTCAGGATCCAATGTATAGAGATCCAATATAATTAATTAGAGTTCACTATTATCATTATTCACTTTTATTTTATGGTTATTCTTAAAAATACTTTTCTAAGGTCACAGATTTTACCAGAGCTGATTTTTTTTTATTAGTTTCAGAGGTAGTTTAATGATTCATCAGTTGCATATAATACCCAGTGCTCATTACATCATGTGCCCTCCTTAATGTCCATCACCAAGTTACCCCATCCCCCAACCTGCCTCCCCTCCAGCAACCCTCAGTTTGTTTCCTAGAGTTAAGAGTCTCTTATGGTTTGTCTCCCTCTCTAATTTTGTCTTATTTTATTTTTCCATCCCTTCCCCTATGTTCATCTGTTTTGTGTCTTAAATTCCACATATGAGTGAAATCATATGATATTTGTCTTTCTCTGGCTTATTTTGCTCAACATAATACCCTCTATTTCCATCCACATCTTTGCAAATGGCAAGATTTCATTCTTTTTGATGGCTGAGTAATATTCCATTGTATACCACCACATCTTATTTAACCATTCATTTGTCGATGGACATCTTGGGCTCTTTCCATAGTTTGGCTATTGTGAACATTGCTGCTGTAAACATCAGGGTGTGGGTGCCCCTTTGAATCACTATATTTGTATCCTTTGGATAAATACCTAGTAGTGAAATTGCTGGGTCATAGGGTAGCTCTATTTTTAACATCTTGAGGAACCTCCATACTGTTTTCCAGAGTGGCTGTACCAACTTGCCTTCCCACCAACAGTGTAAGAGGGTTCCCCTTTCTCCACATCCTCACCAACATCTGTTGTTTCCTGAGTTGTTAATTTTAGCCATTCTGCCAGTATGAGGTGGTATCTCATTGTGGTTTTTGATTTGTATTTCCCTGATGCCAAGTGATGTTGGGAATTTTTTCATGTGTCTGTTGGCCATTTGTATGTCTTCTTTGGAGAAATGTCTGTTTATGTCTTCTGCCCATTTCTTGACTGGATTATTTGTTCTTTGGGTGTTGAGTTTGATAAGTTGTTTATGGATTTTGGATACTAGCCCTTTATCTGATAAGACATTTGCAAATATCTTCTCCCATTCTGTCAGTTGTCTTTTAGTTTTGTCGACTGTTTCCTTTGCTGTGCAAAAGCTTTTTATCTTGATGAAGTCCCAATAGTTCATTTTTGCTTTTGTTTCCCTAGCTTTTGAAGACATGTCTAGCAAGAAGTTGCTGCAGCCGAGGTCAAAGAGGTTGCTACCTGTGTTCTCCTCTACTATTTTGATGGTTTCTTGTCTCACATTTAGGTCTTTTACCCATTTTGAGTTTATTTTTGTGTATGGTATAAGAAAATGGTCCAGTTTCATTCTTCTGCATGTCACTATCCAATTTTCCCAACACCATTTGTTTTCTGAAAAGACTTTTTTTCCATTGGAAAATGGAAAAAAGTCTTTTTTTTCTTTTTGCTATTTTTATTTTTTTTTTAATTATATTTTTTATTTTTTTATCATTATGTTATGTTAATCACCATACATTATATCATTAGTTTTTGATGTAGTATTCCATGATTCATTGTTTGCATATAACATCCAATGCTCCATGCAGAACATGCCCTGTTTAATACCCATCACCAGGCTAACCCATCCTCCTACCCTCCTCCCCTCTAGAGCCCTCAGTTTGTTTTTCAGAGTCCATTGTCTCTCATGGTTCATCAGAGGGGGAGATGAATCATTGGACATTTTTTCCTGCTTTGTCAAAGATTAGTTGACCATAGAGTTGAGGGTCCATTTCTGGGTTCTCTACTCCAGGGCTGATTTTAGCAAAAGTCCCAAAAGGATGCTATACTGTGTCTGGTTCCCAGAAATCCATGTGGATCTTCTAGGCTGCACTGTTCCCTTGCAGGTTGACCCGGATAGAAGATTTATATTCATGTTGGTTTCTATTCCCCCTTCAATATTACTGGCGTGTTCTCTCTTAATGGGACTGCAAAATAGTTATTTTTGAGGTAGTATTAGGATGGATGCTTTGGTTAGTCAGTGCTCATTGGTCACATCTGCATTCTTGTGAACCTAATTTTTGTGGTTTTGCAAAATATTTAAGGCAACAATAATAAAAATCCTATCATATTCATCATTTCACTTAGAGTTCTTTTCTATGCATATGTGTAAGTTTTACATTGTAGTATATCATAACTGTTTACCACGTAGCTACATAATCATCATAATTATTACTTTGATAGCCACACTGGCATACATCTTGTTAATGTGCCATCATTTACTTAACCTACATTTTCAACAGTGGGAGACTCTTTTTCCAATTTTCCCACTATTACAAATAACCTCTAAGTTATATATTTGTGCATATAGTTTCTCTCATTTTTTTAAGATTATTTCCTTAGGATACACTCCTTGAATGGAAACAGTGAGTCAAAGAATGTGAATTTTTAATAGTTTTTAAATAAATTGACATTATTTTTCCAGTTTACAATGCCATCAGCAATATATTAGTATTCTACTTTCATTACAACCTTATCAGTAGTAGTATTATTTTATATTTAGTATGCTTAAATAGTACCTTACTTTTGTTTTTGCATTTTCTCCAAAATAGCAAGTTTTAATCAACCATTTGCTTGTAAATTTTGCATTCTCTCATATTTTGAAAGGCCTAGGTAGTTTTTTTTCTTTTTTTAACATCAAGAACTCTTGGCTATCTTAGTCTCCCATTGCCAGATAGTTTTGTGTATTAAATAAAGCAAATGTAGCTATTTTTCTAACAAAACATTCAGTGGCACTCCCATATTAAGTAATAAATGAGGACCTGTATATAAGGAACTATAGGGAGGACTCAGATAAAATAATAGGAAAATTATAAAATAAAGAGTTACAAAACCCAGGAAGACATATCCACACCAGCATTCCCAAAGTCAAAAGCAAGGCTGCAATGCAGGTCAGACTGGTCAGACTTTGAAGACTTTCTCTGTCCCGGACCTGCTCCTCAGCCAGTCTCACTTTTCAAATAGCAAGCTCAGGAGCTCCAGCCATACTGCTTCCAACATTTCCTTCTCAGTTTTATCCCAGGAAAGCTGCCTGATAGATAAAACCACCATTGTCACACACACACACATACACACACATGCCTTCATACCAGGTCAGGTAAATACATGAAACTCCATAATGTAGGAAGTGGTTTCCCGAATCACAGACCAGTGAGGGATGAATGCCAGTTCCAGAGATCTGATATTGCCCTGCCTTCCAGGCAACTTCACCAGTCCCTGCGATGGATGTCTTCCATGCTCTGCCAAATGGTGGAAGGACATTCCAAGAACACAAACCACTATAAATCTGTCCTGGGGTTGAGTAACTTTATCCCTGTTGGGGACTTCTCTTTGACCTGAGGATGTCAGAGTTCGTTTGAGTAGGATAATTGCTACATACCAGTATCTGGGAACATTAAAGAAGTGACTCACTGCGTTTTTCCCTTTTCCTCTTACAGCCTCAATCGAGGGTTCTCCGTAAACATGGTTAGCCTCCCAAGCTGCTGTCCTGCCAGTTGATACGAACGTGGCCTGTGGCTCGCAGAAAGACTAACTCATGGCACTGCCAGAAGACCTCCACGGAGCACTGACAGAGTAACCAGATTAACTGAAAAAACACCCATTCAGTCAAGATCATGGGCTTTGGAAAATCTCAGTTTGCTGTGGATTTTTAAAATGAGGTGCATAATATACAGTGCCAACTTGTTCCAAGTGGTCATTGGCAGACCATTAGCTGGAAAACTGCTTCCAGTTTTCATCACTGTGCATAACTGACGCTCCCTTAGGGGAGCTGTCTGTGCCCTTCACTAGAAGTCCTATTTTAGCATGGCAACTACTGGATTATTTTATTATGTGTGCAGATGGCATGATGTATTAGAAAAAAAAAAATCACAGCAGTTCTGCAATCTCAGTGGAAGCGTTCATGATATTCTGCCCTGGTAGGAATGTAAACATGTCTTGATTATGTTAGTTATGATGTCTAAAGGTATTCTGTCCAACTCTTAAGCACTTTACGTGAGAACACGACACCAAAACCAATCAGCGTAATCAGTACACGTGGGAAGACGAGTATTCTCTCTCTTTTTTTTTTTTTCTTTTATAAATCTTGTCCTCTTTCTGGCTCAGACTGTCCAAGACAAACTCCACTCCTGGCATATCCCCAGTCATCTGTGGTAGATTGGTGAAAACATGGCCATAATACTGTTAGACTTAACCTGTTGATACTTTATGCAACCAGCTGGATTTCTTGCAGTGCCAAAGGGGAGTAGAAGTGGGCTGGTGGTTGAAATATCTTAGCTCTTGGTTTCTGGTACTGGGGCACAGCTTAGCACATCCACATGCAGACAAACACAGGCGGCTTCTAGGTGGCCAGTGTACATAGTCACTCCTTCTATAGAAGAGTGTTTTCGAAGAACAAAAGGGGGTGGGTTTTTAATCAAAGACCATGGTGGGTTGAGAGTAAGGGCGGCAGAGTGCAGGTTTCCCGTGTGGTCTGACTTTACAACTTCAGAAAACCTTCTAGGTCAAGTTTAAATCACAGATCTCTGAAGAGGGAAATAGCAAGCGTCCCCCTGCGAGCCTGAAGAAGGAAAAGGGCCCAATCCACACTAGGTTCCTACCTCAGTAGAGAACCTATTAGTCCCCTTTAATCCTTTCTGGGATTATATCCACAATTAATTATTTCTTTTTTACTATGTCTTACAGCAAAGCACAGTCCTGGGAAACCAGTCAACCCAGCTATTGCTTGTCTTTGGGCATTAGAGAGAGATCCATATTTCCTGACCCTACGTAATGCTTTAGCTTCCCCCACCCCACCGGAAATACAAACTTGGCTGAATCAAAAATTCAACACATATGGTCTGGGTACCCACAGTCCCAATCTGGGCCTGACAGGTATCAGGCTTTTCTTTAAATATGCATACCAACCCTGCGACCCTGCCAGCACAAGGACGTTTGGCCATTTTAGGGGGGTCTCTATACATGCACTCATAGTCTGGTCTCCCCTGTGGGGGGGGTCTCAAGAAATGCACAGCACATTGGAAAATGCCCCCACCTGAGATTTGGAAAGCTGATAGGGGAAGGGAAAGAAATGTGATGCAGGTGAGTCACCTCGTAGGATGACTCACCACAAACCTGTCAGGCTGTGTTGCCAAAGAAGGGGGGCTTCCGAGAGGGAACTTGGAGGAGTTTCAGTCATCACCAAGATCTGGCCTTTCGACAGGTCAGCACCAGGACCACCAGGCTCTCACAGACCATAATTTTTTACAAATCGAGAATTAGGCGGCCAAACCCTGGCTGCCAATGCCCCTAAAGATAACATTTTGATCTCTCCTGCCCACCTCCTGAGTTTCAGTTCCGACAGCAAGGCTTCCTTCTTCTTTGATCCTTCTTTTATTTAGCAAGGCTTTGTTGAGCACCTACTATGTGCCAAGCATTGTGTTGGGGTAACAACAGAGTGTGAGGCCGACTCTCCGTGCCCTTCTGAAACCATATCTCCTCCCCTACAAATGCTGCCCCCATCCCAGCTTTTCCACAATGAAAACAGAATTCAGACACCTGAATTCACCCCTGGCCAGAGTAACCTCACAAAATGCACCTGGTGGCAGGCAGTTCCCTTGGCCGAGGAAGGAGACAGTAGCATCAGGCCACACGTTTGCATCCTTGTGTACAGCGAACCCTTCCCGGGCCCAGACTTAGCTGGTAAGAGCCTCCCAAAACAGCTTTCAGTTGCGTTCCTGGATATTCACCCTGGTCATCTGTATTCCCCTCCTGGGGAATGACCGCTGGTCATTATGCTGGATTCTCTGAAGCTCCAGTTCTCAAAGGAGTCCTGGGGACCCAGAATAGGGCCTCCAGAGTCCATAAGAACTCCTGTCAGGAGCTGAGATACTGTAGCTGGGAATTAACTGGTTTATGAATTCAGGGTCATTCTGAGACTATGGCTAACCATCTTGGGAGACTGGACACGCCTTATGGTACAGATGGTCATTAAATGATGGAGGTTCAGCCTTCCTTCCTTTGGCTTTCACAAAATATGTTCTGAACAATTAAATAAGTAGAGTTTCCTAGTCTTTTTTTTTTTTTAGTCAAAAGTGTACTGACAGATTATTAAAACGTGATGGGCAAGAGTGGAGATGGGAAAAGGCAAACCTGAAGACCCATGAAAGAACCCAGTTGAAGATGGCGTGTCTATAAATGCCTTAATTCCTGGCACACCAGGTATTTGTGTATGAGCTTCGACGTGTTTTCCAAACTGTCAACCTCATTTTGAAATCATTTGGGGGGATGGTTTTGGAAACGTGGTGGCATAAAAATCTGAGCGGTCAGTTGCTAAACCAGCAAAATGGAGAAATGACTTGCTTCACAGCCTTTGGGTTCTTTGTTCCGTGTTGATCCACAATTTCCCCATCATTACTTCCTGCTGTGCTGCACCTTCTTCCCAAGATGTGTGGAGGAAATTTTACTTCCCAGAAGTTCAGGAATGGCTGTGGGGAGGCACAGGAGGTAAGGGATAAACATTTTGATGTCTAAGGGCTATAAACTGTTGATGCTTACCTTTTCCTTTTACTTAAACCTCTGCTACACCTTTTACTGAAAGCCTGACACCCACACTTGTGCAGGAAAGACACTCTTGGGAATGAACAGAAATGAATAATTATCAGACTCTCTGGGGTGCCAAGGGGATTAGCTTGTTCCAGCTTCAGAACTGAATTTAAAAATGCAGAGCATCGGTGGTTCTGCTAGGGTGAAAAGCAAATCACTTCAGTAGTTTAAGACATACCTAGGGGATAGAGATCCTATAAACTTTCTCATGGGTAATGGCATCCCTTTAGCCCCCTGCTCAGGCTCTATGAGCTGTGTAACTGCACATTTGACTTCTACCTCCAAAGTAGGGGAAGCAACCCCAAGTTCTCTCCAAAGGCACTTCTAGTTGCTCAGACAGAGATTAACAGTCCTTATTCTGAGGGAATTCTGCCATTTTTTAACACTCAAGGGGAAAAGGAGTATCAACTGTACTGAAGAATATAAACTAAGGATAGAATCCTCTAATGGATTTACCCTGGTGTTATTTGCAAAGGTTCTCTTTGTCTGCAAATGTCACCTGATTGATTTTGGAGAGGAACAATAAAAGTCTCTCTGAAGAAAAGTTTCCAAGACCCCCTTAGCACTTTAGCTTTACCCAAACCTCCTCTTCCCTGTGCCATTAGCAGCTTCATTCTTTGTGATGTTTTCCCCTACGTTCTTTGGAGTAATTTTCTTACTTGACAACTAGACTTAAGATTGCCATAGACTCTTTAAAATCTAATCTTTGAAAATGACATAAATTCTTTTATGCCTTAAAAGCTGTTTTTATTCACCTCTCCCACAACCCCCTCCACCCCACTCTTTTGCTTTGTTGGTTTTTTTTTTCTTTTAATCTCTTCTTTTAACGCAATTCCTTGGGTAGATTTTGAGTATTCTATAAAGAACTCAAACGGAAAAACTTAGCCATCCCCTCTTTCCGCAGCACTGACTAATAATTCCTTCCTCCGCTTGATCTTAGTTAAGGCTTGCTGCCCAAACAGCAGTGGGCTGTGGATTCCCATCTCTAGGGAGTGACCAGTCAAAAGTGCTCATCAAAACAGAACCCATGAGATTATGAGGGAGGACAGACCAGGAGATGCTTCTGCTCAGGGCACAGCTGGGGACTCGATTTCAAAGACAAGGAGGTCCTGCTTCTTTGTTTCTTTAGATCTGCATCTCATCCTGTAGCCAGAGACTATCTTATGAATTCTGCTTTATCAAATTGCATGATTCCTGGTGCCACTGCACAGCTTCAGGTCAAACAGAACCCCATTTCCATTATTTTGCTCTGGTACTCTTGTGGGGAGACAGGGATATTCTTTTGACAGTGAATCAGCTGTGGGAAGCGTGAGGAAAAGTTGGCCCTGTGCACACGGAGGTTCTGCCACACCTTAATAAAAAGAACACAATAGATCCTTCCCTGGAGATTCTCATGTAGGAAGGTGGCCAGAGGGATGGTATCAATGCTGGTTTTCTTCTGGCCATCATCTTGGCCCTGCAGGGAAAATTCGGGGGTGGGGTGCAGAGTACCATTTCTAAGATCTAAAAATTTTAAGATGAAATTCACCTATAAGATAAATGTAAAGGGTAAGTGCCAGTGAGGATGGGACCAGTTTTAGACCTCCTGCCCAACAGCACAAAGACTGACAAATGACTTCCCCAGAACAGCAGAAAATGGGTGTAAAAAGCTTTGTAAGACCAGAGTTTTGAGCACCACATGGGGCGATTTTACAATCTTGAAGAGCCCCAAGCATTCTTACTTCAGAGCCTCCCTTCTCCAATTACATCAAGCACGAAAAGGCACCAACAACATACACCTAATAAAATTTCAAAGTAACCCTGTGACTTACACCAAATTGCAGTTGACTGGTTGACATAATGTTAAGTGTTGTAGATACATTCTTTGTGATTATACAATATTCTTTTCATATTTTGGAGCCAGTGGTTCAGGGATTTCATTTCTTTAACGGCTTGTTTTGTTGCTGTTGTTCCAAACCTCCAACATTTCCAGGAGCCTTAGTAAGGCTCTTAAACCCAGGCCTTTTTGCCTCCAGTGCAGAGTGATAGAAACAGCCCTACTGACGTGAATGATGCGGAGACTGTTACATTAATCCAGTTGGAGATGCTAACACCCAAAACAATGAAGACACTGAAGACTGCTGGTTGCTTTCTGCATTGCTTAGAACCTTTTAAATGTCAGTTGTTTGGATCAAAGGGTATAAACGGGCTGTGCTCCATGTGGCTTTGCCCTGTTAGCACACACAGTGATCAAGTGTGGAATTCTAAGCTGGGTTGATATGCAAGAGCTCACAGATCTGTTTGTGTGGTTATATTTAAATACCACCCTCCCCAAATTCTATAAAAACATATTTAGGAGCTTTACTCTGTAAAAAAAAAAAAAAAAAAAAAAGAATTCTAAAACAAGAGATTCTTATTAGGTCATTATTTCTCCTGTGGTGGGGGAACTGATTTTGTGACATAACTTTGAAGAAATACTTGCTTGCCATTAAATGCGAGTGTCTGGTGGTTGCTGTGTTCCACAAATTGATGGTGGCCCTCTCCCATTCCACAGAGGAAGCTGGCCTGGCCTCCCCCCAAAATAGCACAACGACCATGAAGACACCTTTTGAAGCTCTGGATAGTCTCCCTATTCATGCATAATTTCAAGAATATGATTTGGACTGAGCCCTGCCATGGTCTTTGATTATGTGACCCCTGAATCAATTCGAATTCTTTATATATATGCGTGTGTGTATATATATATATATACACACACGCATATATACACACACACACACACATAGATTTCCAGTATTTTTTATTGACCGCCATCAACTGCATTTAGTGCGTTTGCATTGGAAGCTGCCCGCTGACTCAGTGGCAGCTTTGAACAGTTCCCATACCTATTTCCCATACAGGAGAGGACCGAGAATGTTTTCCCACACACCAGCTGCAGAAGTTTGGAAGTGTGTGACCAAATTCTTTTTCACATCAACAGGCCTCTGTTTATAGGAGGTAAACTTAAAGAGAATTGGGTCAGGTTGAGAGGTGGGGAGGGGCTGGGGGGGCACATAGTGGGGTTTGAACACTGGAACCTTTGTCTTTTCCATTGTAATGCAACTCTCAACTCCAATTACCAGAAAGAGAAGCATTACCCTCTTCAGTGAGTGTTGGTCCCCCCCCCCCCCCCCCCCCCGGAGTCGTTGGGCTTCCACATGCTTAAACTCACATGTAGGCAATTCGAAGGCTCTCAGGGCTCAGAATGGTTTGTATACCACTACCTTGGCTCAGCTGGTACAAAAATGCTATACCTACAAGGCCATGCTTGAGGAGACCGTGGCTTGGCTAGTGAAGTTCAGACTGCATTGAGCTGAATAACGTTAGGCTCTGGACTTTGCACTGCAAGTCTGTCATGATTGGCATGGAAGCAACTAGTCTGCTGAAAAGCCAAGCCAGCACAAATATTTTGAAACTAATTCCACTAAAACTCTTGTGCCATTAAACCATGCTACTGTAGTTCCAATTAATCCAACTCTTTAATATCATTAGCCACTAAATTAAATAGCTGTACCCAAAACTTTAGAAAAGATCGATATGGTAACAAAATTACGTATTAGCAGTAAAACATACCTGAGAAAAGAAAATATTGATCTACTGTGGTTTATACTTGAGTTATTCTTAGGCCTTTGTGGATCTGGCACTGCTCTGAGAAAGGGGAAGAAAAGGTTTTGAATTCAAGAATACTTGGATTCAATAGAAATTGCCCATCTCTCCGGGCTTCTGCTCGTCTGTCCCACCTCAGCAGACGGGGTGGTTTGCAGGCTAAAATGAGCTAAGGGGAGGTGTTCCGTACCACTAATATAAAGCACAGTGACCTGGGCTTTAATTGTGAGCCCTTTCTCTTTATGATTTTTCCTCATAGCTGGTATTCCTGAGAGTCCATCCTGGGATTAGAAAAGAAAGAATGATAAGAAAGTAAGAATCGGCATCTTGCATACACACACACAAGCTTTTTCTAATACAGGGGAACTGGTCTGCAGAGCCCATGGCCTAGGCGCCCGTGTATCTCCACTTCTCTGCCTCTAAAAGGCTTACCATTGACCTAGCCAAGGGAGAGAGCCTCAGGTTTGGCTTACTGCAGGGGAAAATCACCAATCTCTGGGTTGGGGAAGACCAATGAAAGTGTGAAGTTGACAAACTGAGGGTCACGGGAAGCAGAGAGCCACATGGAACTTTGTTGATGAGCTACTGTATGTTAGTATTTGTCCTAGGCAAGAAAGAGGAAGAAAAAAATGGAAGGCCAGTATTCTCAGTAGGGTATGAGGGGGGAAAAAATCTCATGAAAAAACTGGTTCACGGTTTTACAAACACTAACAAATGTAGCTATAAAAGCACATTTCATAATACAAAAGCCTACATAGAGGGTAGAAATTTTTATAGCTTCCCTAAGTGAGTAGTTAAACCAGCAGTCTAAATTCTCTTAGTCCCCAAAGAGTGGTTAATTAAATAAGTATTTTCCTTATCCATTGCCCACATCTGTGGGTTTTTTGGTTTTTGTTTTTTTTTTTCCTCTATGCACCCTAGAGAAACTCCCAGGACTAGGCTTAGGAGGACTCAAGCAAGTTACGTGGTAAAATCAGAGTGCCTTTTCTGTTGGATGCTCACTTTGGTTCCCTGGATTCCCAGGGCATACAATGTTTAGAAACTTTCTTCTCTAAACATAAGAATTACTGTGCACCACAATCTTGAACCAACAATTTCCACATCTTAAGCAGCTATCAACTTGCCAGTTCCCTGTGGGTCTCCTTTATATTTTCTTATACTGTTTCTGTTTGGGGTTGTCGTCAAAAGGAGTTGGGGGGCATGATTCTTTTTAAATTGATAGAAATGAAACTGTACAGATTTTTGCCCCCTTGTATCTGTGAGCATGATCTCTATTGGGCTTGAAAATTTGCTTTATCATTTTGTATACTGGACTATTTTGTATTCAGCATTACTTGATTCCTTATGTGCATGGCAATGTATTAAAATGTGGGATTTTTATTACCGTGTAAAGGCATTTTGATTCTGATTTTCAACATAAATCCTTAGAAAAAAATTACATTAAACTTTTTATTTCTGTTTTCTTCAGCTCATCAGCTTTGCAGAAGGAAAAGAAAAGTTAACAGCATTTCACTTTCCCTGTGTTAGCTAATGATGCAATTCATGGTGGAAAATTGTCCTCAATTATGCTGTGTCTCCTGGAGAAATAATATATGTGAAATGAATTGGTGGCCTCCCTCCAGCTCCCAGCACACAGAATTCCCCCAGCAACAAATCGCACCAGCGTGATTGCTGTTACTGTTGAAGGCTTTAGTGTTGAGCACAGCCAGGCAAAAGACCCAATTCTCTTTGTCTCCAGATATGGTAACACCCTGGAAAAAGATGGAACAACAGATCTTGGCCCACCAATTTGCTCTCATCCCAGAGAGTCTTAAGTGCTTATAATAGCATGATTGATGGCATTCCCCAGTGCCTCTGGTGCCCTCTGTCTCAGGGAATGACCAACTAGAAGCTATCTGTATTTTATCAGTAGAGATACTGACCTTCAAAAACACCTGCCCAAGAGGTCTGGGGTCCGAAACTAGTTCTCTGAAACAGATGTGGCACAGCTAGCTCTGCATTTCAGCACACATCTGGATACACTCCAGTCTTGACCACGTATTGAAAGGATGCTGAACATTTTTTCTCGAATTAAAAAAAAAATTCACTGAATAATACAATGTACCAAATAAAAAAACAGACCATTTTACCTGCTTTAAACTACCATTTTCACCCTTCCTTTTCTCAAGGAGACATCCTAATGAGTACTTATAGCCACTGTGAGTTTACTGAGTATGATGAATTGCTTCAACTTGCACCACAGAAACACTTCTTTCCCAGAAAGGAAAAGGCACTTATAAGTTGCATGATAAAGAAAGGAAACACCCATTGCCTTTTTTATTACATGTTTACTGTGAATATAGTTTTGGGGGTTTTCATCTTCCCCCACCCCCACCAAAACAGTTTTCCAAAAGTAAAACCTGTGATAATCTTTTAGGTTGGCTTACTGACTCAATGTGTCAACCTTCTAAATCTGCCTTCGCACCTTCTAACTCTAAAAGCACCATCTTCTGCCACTCTTAATTCACACAGATTAAGAACATGGAAAATGGGGCAACATTTCATCATTTAACCTCTTGAGAAGATGGAGAACTAGAGCCCCCAAACCCAAAGTTCTCTTTTTCTTGACCTCTCTTGGATCATTTCTGATCATTCTCTCTCTTCTATTTGTCTCTCTTCCCACTGTCATCCTTTTTCTCTGCCTTTAACTTCCTGCCCTCTTTCCATGTGCTTGTTTTGATTCTTTCTTCTGCCTTACTTTCCTCTCCATCTTATCTCCTTCTCTTTCCCTTTCTCGAACCCATCTCCATCTCTCTCCTCCCACCCATTTTACCCTTCTTCTTTCTTTTTCTCCCTATAAGTAGGGCATTCATCTTCTTGGTATTTGTATCCCCATCTCTTGGTACATAATAGTTGCTCCGCAAAGGTTAGGTTTCGGTGAATTAAACTTGGTGTCATGCTCTTCCCAGCTTATTTCCCTCCTTCCTACTGAGCCCAGCAAGCCATGCTAACACTCCAGTAAGTAAATTAACTCAGAGTAATAAAGACTGAAGCCAGATGTAGGCAGACTCCCCAAGATACCATTTTGCCAGTACCAAGAAAAGTTTCCCTGCCATCTCAGTGTTTGGAGAACTCATACTTGCCTGGGCAAACATGGTGGCCATATTTGGATCAAGTATAGTGATGTCATGAGAAGCTCAGTTGGAGCCACCAAAATTATTTACTGCCCTAAGATTCTTCAGAATCTTATACAATCCCTCCATGAGACCTAGTATATGTATACTGGAGTGCTGGATATTTTGTCTCAGAGAAAGTTATCCCTGGCTGAGGAGGCTTCTTATGGTAATTATGAAATCACAAACATTATTAGCAATTTCCCCTTCACATATATCTATTTTTATGGCATATAGGTATATGTACGCTGAAAAATAGCTTTCCATTACCTTGCCTGGTTTTGTACATATATTGAAAAATCAACTAAAAATTAGCTTTAAGAAAGGCAACCACATTCTCCTGTTTTTGTATGGCACTGGGGATGTGTAAGGTGGGAGGGGATAATGAAAACTGCATACACTTGTTTCACAAATGAACATGCCCCCATTCTCACGAGAAATGGAAAACTTGCTGGGCTCCTATTTTTCTCTTGCATCTCTATCCTTTGGGAATGGAATGTGAATATTCTTAGGTCCCCCCACTGCCCAGTTTCTGCTGGGAATTCCAAGAGGGTAATACAAATATATCTGAAAGCATTTCCAGATTTTACTTGGT